AAAAAAAAAAAAAAAAAAAAAAAAAAAAAGATCCGGGGCGAAGAAGAATTTGATATACTAAGAAAATCACTACAGAAGCTTCTAAATAGGCAAAGTTCGGAAACCAACTCAGAAACCCCCCCATCATCCTCTTTACCCTACTCCGGCAAGGCTTACTGCAGCAGAGCCACCATCTCCACTGCTGCTGTACCCTATTTCCATCCTACCAGCTAGCCCCCTCACTAGTAGGACGCTTGGTATCCATCCATCTATTCATCCCACTCAACCTCTTTTTTGAACACATAGCCCCACAGAACAATCCTGCCTCCATCATCAAAGGGAAGAAGTACAGACTGAAAGTTAGCAGCCAGTGGCTGGTACCGGCCGAAATTTCACCGCCAATCACATCCACTGCCAACTTCCTCCTTCCCAATCCCCTCCGTCCTTCCCAACTCCGTCATCGTGAAGAACTTCAGAGAGCCTCTTCTCCRTGGGGACTGATCACCATCATCACCCTGACATTCTTTGCCCCCATAAGAATCCCAGTCTCAGTCATCATTATTTTTCAAAAAACAACAGAACAGAGTATAAATTTGAAGAGTCCCKTCCAGTTAGGACTCAGAGTCTGTAAATCAAAGAACAGGGTTACACCCTACATCGTTAATCTCAAATTTCATTACTTTTTCGTTGCGGGAGTTAGTATGGAAGTTAAAATGGAGGATGTCGAAGAAAGAAAGAAAAAAAAAAAGAATAACTTGCATGGAGCAAGTACCTTTCCCATATATCGGCAGGAAAAAAGGCTCGATTCCGAATGGAAAACGGAGGAACTTGACAACGGCAAACTGTGCATGGAGCAGCGGGCAGAAAAAAGGCCCGATTCCGAATGGAAAACGGGGGCCAAGTCCCACTAGCAGCGTTGAGCTACCTCAACGCCTGAATCTGGACGTGTTTGTGGAGATGTGCAGTTGAGGAAACTCGACACCATTTCCGCACATCTCCGCAAAAGCGTCCATGCTCAGGCGTTGAGGTAGCTCAATGCTGCTAGTGGGACTTGGCCCCGGGCCGCCGCGCCGATGAAATTTATCAACAGCAGCCCGATCCCACTTGGCTTCCGAACCGACGGGCGCGGAATTGCTTTTCAAGAGGTGAAAGGTACTGGTGGTTTAAGTGTGCATGGATGATGCCAGTAAGCTCCACAATGTTTAAAATGGTAACACTAGTGCGGTAAGGTGATTGGAGTTCCAACGRCAGCTTCACGGCCAACCGACAAGCGAGACCTACATGATCATGTTTCTCCAGCTCACTGGTTCAAATCGCACATCAAACAACCCTAGCAGGGTGGCGAATTGGCAAACAAGCTAAGGCAGCTTCATGGCCAACCGACAAGTGAGACCTACATCATTTTTTCTCCAGCTCACTGGTTCAAATCGCACATCAAACAACCCTAACAGGGTGGCAAATTGGCAAACGAGCTAAGGCCAACTTCCTGAATCGCTAAACCATTGTGGAAAGGCCCTCATCAATCATCACGGGATTGCAAACACTTAACCGGGGTTTATGAGCGAAGGTTGCCCCCACCCAAGCATCTTTTCTCCACAAAGTTCCGGTGGTTACAGAAAGCAGGACCCCAAATCCATAGAGGCTGCTAAAAAGAGTGCTCGTTGTCTAGTCCTCCACATGCTATAAAGCAATCAAACCTTCGTCTCAGGGCGAAGGATCCAAATTTGAAGCAGCCCCCAAGAATCGGGGTGTGGCGACCTATTCTTACAGACATGATAGCTGTGTTTTAGGGGAGTACCTCCATAGCGCAGCATCCAACGACACGGCCACAAGCTCCACAAATCAAGCAGAGCAAAAAGCCAAACTCAACACATCAGCATACATGCTCTATTGAAAGCACAGGACCACACAGTTACGAAGAACATACGGGAATCAAAATCCCTGCTCATTTGGTCATAACTTAGCCGAGTGCAGGGGTGCCTGCTTGATCCAACCAGAACCCCCTCAAAACACGTGCCAGATCATCCTCACCCGTCCGTCGGTGGAGCGGCCCATCTGCCACTTCCCAGCAATAATACCTATGTGGCCACTCGACCATCCTTACCCATGATCTGAGGCAACATCCCCTTAACCCACCCCTCTTTTCCATTGACCAAGTGGACCAACGCTCCCCACCACGCGACCACCCATCAAATCTTGAAGAAAGCAGYTTCACAGGACTGAGGACAAGCATGGAACCAGTTGAACACGCGACGAGCATGGAAACAGCCGTCGACCAAAAAGGGCCCCAGAAAAATCTTCCTCACTATTAAGTATTGCAGTTCCTCCCTTAGCTGTTCATCACATCACCCATGAAACCATATGGATGCGCCGTATGAGAATTTCGGAAAATTGGAAAATTTGAAAAAGGCCGGTTTTTGATAATGTACTCAGTCTTGGAATTGTGTATCAAGCAAAAGTTGCTTAGAGTTGTGTTTCACACGGCATAACATGGCTTGGCAGGGCCTTCAGAAGGATCAAGCAAGTTGTAATGGGYGCTCGGGTGTGTMGACAACCATTGGACGACCACAGCGATTCCATCCTAGGAGGAGGGAAAGAGCCAGCTGCCATGGGGATGCCGGGGGTCTACCATGATCATCATAATGGTTCCAATGAGGGGATGGTTACCCCTCTGCTTGCAGGAGACGACCTCTCCCTCCCAATGGATGGAGATCATGGCTGGTTCAACGGGAAGGAATTTGTGGCAGAGTCGAAGCGGTTGTTCGATTTGACTTTACCCTCCGTAGGGATGTATGCTTTCCAAGCTCTCTTGGCTACCGTGTCGTTGGCCTTTGTCGGGCACCTGGGTGCTGTAGAACTTGCRAGTGCTGCCATTTCGGTGACTGTCACGAATGCTTGTGGTCGCTATGTGTTGCTGGGACTATCCAGCGGCATGGAGACACTGTGCGGGCAGGCCTTTGGTGCAGGGCAGCTTCTGCAGCTAGGGGAGATCCTCCAACTAGGCATCATCATACTCAACCTCAGCTGTGTCCCTTTGATCGCCATTCTGTGGCACACGGAGGCCGTCCTCCTGCTTTGCCACCAGCACGTGGATGTAGCTCACAACGCTGCAGTGTTCGTCAAGTACATGATTCCTGGCATAATTGTACAGGCATGGTCGTGTCCAGTGGAGAAGTTTCTCCAAGCGCAAGGACTCGTTGTCCCTCTGACTGTTGCCTCCGGTGYGGCTTTCCTCGTCCATGTTCCTTTTAGCTGGTTTCTGGTGTTCAAGGCAGGGCTGGGATTGATCGGGGCCGCCATCGCCATCTCGGTTTCCTATGCAATCTACCTCTTCGGCCTCCTACTGTGGATTTGGCACTTCAGGCTGCACGAGAAAACCTGGCACGGATGGTCCTTGCAGTGTTTCCAAAGATGGGGGAAGTACATGCGCCTCTCGCTTCCTGCGTGCGTTATGCTCTGCATTGAGTGGTGGTCCTTTGAACTGACGACCATCGTTGCCGGTCTTCTTCCAAATCCAGCGATAGAGGTTGGTGCATTCAGCATCTGTCTCAATGTACTTCCAAATCCAGCGATAGAGGTTGGTGCATTCAGCATCTGTCTCAATGTA